GCAGGAAACTGGACTAACTGGCACACCGCCGTCAACGTCCTGGAACTGAACTGAACTGTCCTGTCCTGTCCTGCCACGTCATTCAGCACCAACCTTGATTTGTGGCGCTCGGTTAACCGCACAACTGCGGAATGGCTTTTGGTTTAGGAAGCCTGGTGGAGGCAGTTGTGCTTATGCTTAATGCTGTATGCATTCTACATGAAAGGAGATTTCTTTCAAAAAGTTTGTAGTCTTTCTGTCACTGTTTCTTATCTTTCCAGTCGGTTGGGCAAGAGAGGATAAAGATTTCAGTGCCCCATCAACTGTAAAATCGCAGCTTCTCAACATTATACATTCCATTCGGACGGTGATGCGAAGTAAGTAGATCCTTGGAGTTTATTTATTGTTTCAGTTCCTCTTATAGGTGTCAATATCACTATAATCGTGTTCAAGATGGTAGTTGGATAGCTCAGCGCATAAACAAACGATAAATATTTTCACAGTGGATGCATACCGCGACTTGTTTCAAACACGCATGTATATATAATGTGTAAAATAAATTTGCTTTTTTGTGATAATCTCTTATGCTGAGTTTTTTCTCAACTAGGGTTGCAATCAGATCTCCCCCACAGATCACTAGTTGACTTGTCGATTGCCAATAATTTCCAGCAAATGTAGCCGGGGTAACCGGTCGGAGTTATTCAAGCAAGTAAGAAGAATCTCACTGCCTGGCTCGGTTCTTTTGTACACAAATTAAATTGGATTATCTAGGACCACGAATAGAAGCTTGTGTGATGCCATTCCAGCAAACTCTAAGTTTTGTAGAAAACGCTTAGATGAAACTTGCACAGGGTCAAACAATTTAAAATACCCTTTGACTTGGGTTAGGCCATGTTTTCCCTTCATATTGCATCTGGATTTCCAACCTCTGTTGTGACCAGTGGCGTCTGCTTGACTCAGCGATTAAACCTAGGTAACGATAATAGCCCCATTTTCGGTCTGTGTTAGATTCTCTTTTCTCTCCGTGGATGTTCTGGCATTGCCATTTGAAATAGTGACACGACCGGAAGGGTAATCATTGCCTGGCGCAGGCTACTGTGGTAGTACTGTTTTCACCGTTTGTCTATGACTCAAAAGACCCTGTTGTTTTTCCAGGTGCACCTGCCCAATTTATGCTCAACCGCGGAACTGTCAGTCGTTCCTGTGAGTCACGCTGTCTCCTTGCATGTACAAACCTTTCCCTGCAATTCTCCTTGGGTCACGCGTTGTCCGTCTTCTTACCCGTTCAGGGCAATAGTCGTATTATTCT